TGATGGCTCGTGATCTAGATCACGTAATAATAATTTTGGAGGAAAATTTATGTCATTTCGACGATGCTCTAATAATATTATTGAAACAATTACTATTTTACCAATAGTTAGAATTTTTGTAGGTTTAGAACTGGGAAGTCATGTCTGACCAGTGACGAGGCGTTACTACGCATCTTCGGCACTCTCGGAAATTTCTTGAAATTTCAGTCAGTTTGAATTTAAATTTCATTGAAAACCTTCACTCCGTTTTTCACTGCTTTGGAAAAATGACGAAAATTGTTCTTTTCGTTTAAATAATTTTTTATTTTCCAATGAACGTTTGATTTATTGAATTTTTCCTGACAATTAATCATAAAATGCAATTCAATTTTTAATGTTTTAAAAATTCATGGGTTATTTCCGAAATTTGAAATATCCCCAAATGTAACAAACAAATAACAAAAAAATAATTACTCAATAATGATATCAAAATAAAAAATTAATAAATAAAACAATTGCTCAATTTACCATTATTTGAAAAAGAAAATATCACACGAAAGATCTCACTCTAATTTTTTCCGAGAATTTTCCCATCTCCCGAGTGTTGAAAAGAAATGATAATTTTTTGCTAAATATGTTCATTAATTCAATTACTCCGAATGAATTATTAATGCATGTGCGAAAAATCCTTTTCCTCAAGGAAAGTGACTCTCAAGTTTTCACTCAAGCGACTCATAGTTAATACTGGGTCACTGTACATCATCAGCAAGTAAAATTTACTTCTCATATTACAATCAATTACCCAGAAATAGAAAATGCCACTGGTGGACTCTGTATCTACCAATGACTCCGTGGTTTTTGCAACTTCTCACTTGAAATAATCTCATACACATCACTCGCTAAATTTCACTCGACAATTATTCACCAGCTAAATCCGTCATAACTTTAATGTACATACAATATTTATTCGAAGATGAGACCACTAAACATTGAGCCATTAATACCAATACAATAAAAATAGGTACCAGCATCTGTATGTCAAATTTTTTCATCAGGAAAATAGTATATGATGTACATGAAAATTTAAACTATTGCTGGGGATAATTAATGGTGATTAAAAAATTCAACACTCAAATAAAACAGATACAGATGATGGCATTTCAAAGAACAAAAAATTCTCTACAATGGTATATAAATATTTTCCATTAATTTTCTGTG